TTGTTAACAGATCGTAAACCCAGTTGTCGTTGTTCTGTCGGCTCGAACAGCCCGTACAGCCATTCAGCGGCTGGTGGACGGCGCGCAGTCTCCACGCGGATCCGCATCTCGTGCACACCGCAAGGCGCCGCCACCACATGGACCAGCCCGATGGACTGTGTTTGTGGTCGGGGTGGACAGTTTGCTGTTCAGCGTATCATTGAGCAGGATGAGATGAGCGTCTAGTGGTGACGCGGGTAACGGGCGAGGTCCTGGGTGCAGAACCCGCCCTGACTCTGCCGATCCACTGGATGCGACTCAACTGCTGATACCGAACTTGTGCTGGCGGGCAGTGATTTGTGAGCGTATCGTTCAAGATTGGGGTCAGCCCACCCAACGGATGGCCGTTCGGTCGTACGACATTCGACTCGACTGTGGACTCACTCCGTGCCAGTCGTCAGCCGCCAGTTCAACGCTCGCAATGCGGTATGAACGCGGTGTCCGCGGCGGTGAGCTGCGCAGTTGGTCATTGTTCTTCGTTGCAGAGTCTTTTCTCGCATTGCTAGGCAACCCACCAAGGCCCATCGACGGCCAGCGCCCAAGGTCTGATTGTGCCCCCGGCTGTGCGTCAGCAGCGGCTTCAGACAGGGCCTGCGCTTGAAGGGGATTTTACATTTACGGGCTCTGCCAGCAATGCGTGGAAGGCGACGCGACGGTTGAAGGGTACTGTCCAGAAGGGCACTGTCGCTCCGGGTCGGGCGACGGTGCCGCAGTGTCGCTCCGGGTCGGGCGACACTGCTCGCGGCGTCCGGGTCCTGCGCCTCCCGACGAGGTCGGACGGCGTGGTATTCCGGCCGCCGCGCCTCGGTGACTGGCTGCCGTAGAAACCAGAAGTACGAGGGCGTTGTCCACCCTAAGATGGACGGAACTCGGAGGGCGTTGTCCACCCTAAAATGGACGGAATTCGGAGGGCGTTGTCCACCCTAAGATGGACGGAATTCGGAGGGCGCTGTCAGGGTCCCCCTCGGGGAGCGACGGCGCCCGACCGTCAGGGTCCCTACGGGGAGCGACGGCTGAAGCGCAAGGGTACTGTCAGGGTCCCTTCAGGGAGCGACGGTGCCCTAATGTCAGGGTCCCCTCTGGGGAGCGACGGTTCGAAGGGCGCTGTCAGGGTCCCCCTCGGGGAGCGACGGCGCCCGACCGTCAGGGTCCCTACGGGGAGCGACGGCTGAAGCGCAAGGGTACTGTCGGGGTCCCCTCGGGGAGCGACGGTGCCCTACTGTCAGGGTCCCCCTCGGGGAGCGACGGTTCGAAGGGTACTGTCAGGGTCCCTTCAGGGAGCGGCGGTGCCGTACTGTCAGGGTCCCTCCGGGGAGCGACGGTTCGAAGGGTACTGTCAGGGTCCCCGCAGGGAGCGATCGTACCGCAGCTGCGGCTAAAGGCCTGCGCTGCCCGCGGCATTCGAATGCGGCGCCTCCCGACTGAGTCGGCTCGCGTCGTATTCCAGCCAGAAGGGCGCTGAGACGAGATCGCGATCTCGGTCATCACGCCATCTAGACTTTAGCGAGGCGTGTGGCGCGCCGGCAGCGCCGCCGCCGTCTAAGGTACTGTCAGGGTCCCTTCGGGGAGCGACGGTGCTGCTGAGCGTCTGCTTGAACTGCTGTCGTCCCGCCAGAGTATATCTCGACTAGCTCTTCATCGAGAAGAGCGTCGACTCGTGCGCCGCCTCGTCGGCGGCGTGGCGGGCGGGCAGCTGGATGTGCTGTCGCCTCGCCATAGGATACCTCGACTAGCTCTCGATCGGCTAGAGCGTCGACTCGTGCGCCGCCTCGTCGGCGGCGTGGCGGGCGGGCGGCCGGATGTGCCGTCGCCTCGCCGGAGTATATCTCGACTCGCTCTACATCGGCTAGAGCGTCGACTCGTGCGCCGCCTCGTCGGCGGCGTGGCGGGCGGGCAGCTGGATCTGCTGTCGCCTCGCCGGAGTATATCTCGACTCGCTCTACATCGGCTAGAGCGTCGACTCGTGCGCCGCCTCGTCGGCGGCGTGGCGGGCGGGCAGCTGGATCTGCTGTCGCCTCGCCGAGTATATCTCGACTCACTCTACATGGGCTAGAGCGTCGACTTGTGCGCCGCCTCGTCGGCGGCGTGGCGGGCGGGCAGCTGGACCTGCTGTCGCCTCGCCAGGGTATACCTCGACTAGCTCTCCATCGAGAAGAGCGTCGACTCGAGCGCCGCCTCGTCGGCGGCGTGGCGGGCGGGCGGCTGGATGTGCTGTCGCCTCGCCAGAGTATACCTCGACTAGCTCTCCATCGAGAAGAGCGTCGACTCGAGCGCCGCCTCGTCGGCGGCGTGGCGGGCGGGCGGCTGGATCTGCTGTCGCCTCGCCAGAGTATACCTCGACTAGCTCTCCATCGAGAAGAGCGTCGACTCGAGCGCCGCCTCGTCGGCGGCGTGGCGGGCGGGCGGCTGGATGTGCCGTCGCCTCGCCAGAGTATACCTCGACTAGCTCTCCATCGAGAAGAGCGTCGACTCGTGCGCCGCCTCGTCGGCGGCGTGGCGGGCGGGCAGCTGGATCTGCTGTCGCCTCGCCGGAGTATATCTCGACTAGCTCTACATACTCAAGCCTCGCGAGAGCGGCTCACGCAGGCGCAGCGCCGGCCGGGGAGGCCTCGCAGCTGCCGACACCAGATGCACTGTCGGCGTCGTTCTACGCGGGCCGCTCGTCGACTGATTGACTACGGTTCTCGCGTGGGGGCGCTGTGCTGTGCCGTACCGGGCTCGACCACGCCGTCAAGCCGTCGAAGTCCGAGACGTGGGGAGGCACAACGCCCAACCACGCCAGGGCCCCGTCGAGATCGTCGTCGCCGCGACATCGAGACCTCCGGTGATCTCCGGTGATCTCGGGTGATCTTTGGTGATCTCCGGCGGTCGGGCGGCGTCGATCTCCGAGAGGGAGTCGAGTCTAGCGTTCCTCAAGATGACGCACTACTCAACTCAACCCCTACGCCCGCATCGACGTGGGAGACAAGGCCACCCCTCGATGCTACCTGCTACCAAGCGGTGGGGCAGGAGATTGGAGGGGCCCCTTGCAGAGGTGGCGCGAACAGCTTCAGCTTTTCTCGCCCGCTCTGCTGAGGGCGAGGCGCCGAGCTACGGTTCCAACGCTGCAGCACTCTCCCTCTATTCACAGCAGAGATGGCGACGCGTCCTTACGCGCGTCCTCGTCCCCACCTGCTTTGCTTCAACGTGCTGCCATGGAGCCAGCGCGCCTCGCGCCATGATTCAATCGCCCCCACCCGCCCTCTTCCTGGCGATGTTCATGGCTCAGAGCTGATTCCGATCAAAACACGCTACCAGTGTTCACTCTCTCTATAGCATCTCCCTCCGTGGTCGCGGGCTCGGCTCGCGCCGAGTTTCCGCTGTCGTCGTCACCGCATAGTCGGTTGGGCGGAGGCGGGCAGGAGCAGGCGGCTCCTTGGATCTCCAGCTCAGCCTGAGCTGTGAGGATCGGCCCTGTCCACGGTTGAAGCGACGCCAGCTTCACGAGATGTATCTTCAACGAGTTGGATCGGCTCTCTTTGTTCATGGGTCTCATTGGAGAGACGACTTGAGGAGACGACTAGTCTCACTCCCCCGCTTTCACGCAGCGTGTTCTGTTCATGTGTGTCGTGATGTGTCTGTCGGCCCTGGCATGTGTTGTCTGTCCCAGGGCGTGGGGAGGCACAACGCCCAACCACGCCAGGGCCCCGTCGAGATCGTCGTCGCCGCGACATCGAGACCTCCGGTGATCTCCGGTGATCTCGGGTGATCTCCGGTGATCTCCGGCGGTCGGGCGGCGTCGATCTCCGAGAGGGAGTCGAGTCTAGCGTTCCTCAAGATGACGCACTACTCAACTCAACCCCTACGCCCGCATCGACGTGGGAGACAAGGCCACCCCTCGATGCTACCTGCTACCAAGCGGTGGGGCAGGAGATTGGAGGGGCCCCTTGCAGAGGCACGGCTCATCTTGCGTAAAATTCTTCTTCGCACGCTGCGTCCACTGAGCCTCACGGGTCTGCTCCTGAGCGTCCCCGCTGAGCGTCCATATGAGGTGCCACTACGAGGTGCTCGGCGTCGAGCGGGACGCGGACGACGACGCGCTCAAAAAGGCGTACCGCAAGCTGGCGCTCAAGTGGCACCCCGACAAGAACCAGGACCAGATCGAGCTCGCCACCGAGACCTTCAAGCAGATCCAGTCCGCCTACGCGGTGCTCTCGGATAAGCACGAGCGCGCATGGTACGACGACCACCGCGAGGCCATCCTGCGCGGCGCCGGCGGCGGCTCCGCGGGCGGCGGCGACGAGGACGACGACGGCGGCTTTGACCTGTGGGCGTACTTCTCGTCGTCCGCCTACTCGGGCTTCGGCGACGACGAGCGTGGCTTCTACGCGGCGTACAGCCGCGTGTTCGAGGCCGTCGACAAGGCGGAGCGCGACAGCGGCGCCAAGGGCAAGCCGCCGGCTCCGGAGCTCGGCCGGTCGGACGCCGCGTGGAGCGAGGTGCGCGGCTTCTACGCGCACTGGGAGGCCTTCTCGACGGGGCGCTCGAT